TGTTTGAATGACAGCCTCCTGGTCTATGTACAGGTTCCTCATGAGCACAGTTAAGAGTCTGGAATTTCCATTCTTCTCATAACATAATTTGTTATGATCCACACAATTGAATGCTTTTGCATAGTCTTTAAAACACAAGTAAACATCTTTCTGGTATTCCTTGCTTTCAGCCAAGATCCATCTGCCATCAGCAATGATATCCCTTGTTCCACATCCTCTTCTGAATCCACCTTGCATTTCTAGAAGTTCTCTGTCAATAGACTGCTGCAATCATTTTTTAAATATCTTCAGTAAGATTTTATTTGTGTGCGATATTAATGATATTTGATAATTTCCACATTCTGTGGGATCACCTTTCTTTGGGATAGGTACAAATATGGATCTCTTCCAGTCGGCCAGGTAGCTGTCTTCTGTATCTCTTGGCATAACCAAGAGAGTGCCTCCAGTGCGGCATCCATTTGTTGAAACATCTCGATGAGTATTCCATCCATTCCTGGAGCCTTGGTTTTTACCACTTCCTTTAGTGCAGCTTCTACTTCTTCCTTCATTACCATTGGTTCTTGATCATATGCCACTTCCTGAAATGGATGAACATTGACCAATTCTTTTTGGTACAGTGACTCTGCGTATTCCTTCTATCTTCTTTTGATGTTTCCTGCATCATTCAATATATTGCCCATAGAATCTTTCAGTATTGCAACTCGAGGCTTAAAATTTTTCTTCAGTTCTTTAAGCTTGAGAAATGCCGAGCATGTTCTTCCCTTTTGGTTTTCTAACTCCACGTCTTTGCACATTTCATTATAATTATTGGCTTTGTCTTCTCAAGCTGCTCTTTGAAATCTTCTGTTCAGCTCTTTTATCTTGTCATTTCTTCCATTTGCTTTAGCTACTTTCCACTCAAGGGCAAGTTTCACAGTCTCTTCTGACATCCATTGTGGTGTCTTCTTCCTTTTCTGTCTTTTTAATGACCTTTTGCTTTCTTCGTGGATGATGTTCTTGATGTCATCCCACAAGTCCTCTGTTTTTCAGTCATTGGTGTTCAGTGCATCAAATCTATTCTTTAGATGTTTCTTAATTCAGGAAGGATATAATCAAGGTCATATTTCGGCTCTCGGAGACTTCTTTTAATTGTCTTCAACTTCACCTTGAACTTGCATGTGAGCAGTTCATGGTCTGTTCCACAGTCAGCTCCTGGCCTTGTCTTGGCTGAAGATTATTGAGCCTCTCCATTGCCTCTTGCCACAGATGTAGTCAATCTAATTCCTGTGTACTCCATCTGGCGAAGTCCATGTGTATAGCCGCTGATTGTGTTATTGAAAAGAGGTATTTGCAATGAATAAGTCATTGGTCTTGCAAAATTCTATCATGCGACCTCCAGAGTTATTTCTGTCACCAAGGCCATATTTTCCGACTACCAGTGATTCTTTTGTTTCCAACTTTTGCATTCCAATCACTAGTGTTAATTAACATATCTTGATTGCATGTGTGGTCAATTTCACACTGCAGAAGATGGTAAAAATCTTCGGTTTCCTCATCTTTGGCTTTGGTAGTTGGTACATAAATTTGAATAACAGTAGTAGTAACTGGTCTTCCTTGTAGGTGTATCGATATTATCCTATCACTGCCAACATTGTACTTCAGGATAGATCTTGATACATTCTTTGTGATGAATGCCATGCCATTTCTCTTCAGTTTGTCATTTCCAGCATAGTAGATCATATGATCGTCTGATTCAAAATGGCTAAAACCAGTCCATTTCAGTTCACTAATGCCTAGAATATCAATCTTTATGTGTTCCACTTCGTTTTCGACAACTTCCAATTTTCCTAGATTCATACTTCGTCCATTCCATGTTCTGATTATTAATGGATGTTTGCAGCTATTCCTTCTCATTTTGAGTTGTGCCATATCAGCAAATGGAGGTCCCGAAAGCTCTAATCTATCCACATAATTAAGGTCGGCTCTACTCTGAGGAGGCAGCTCTTCCCCACTCATACTCTGAGTGCCCTTCGACCTGAAGGGCTCATCCTCCAGCACTATATCAGACGTGTTTTACTGCTATTCATAACGTTTTCACTGGCCAGTTCTTTGAGAAGTGGATGGCCCCTTCCTTCGTCCAAGTCTGCCTTAGTCTGGAGGCTCTGCCAAAACCTGTCCACTGTGGGTAACCCTGCTGGCATTTAAAACACGAGTAGCATAGCCTCCAGCCTCACAACAACAGGCAAGCCACCACAGTGTGACAAACTAACAGACAAGTTTGTCTCCCTTAGCTGTTCCAAACCGCTCCACTCACTTGGTAGGGAATCATAAATGGTAACTACAGCATTATCATGGTTATTATTATGGCTATTATCATAATTATATAAGGATATTGGAACCTGTTTTTAGTATCTGTATCCTTTAATACAGGAGCTCTGGTAGCATAGTGCCTAAGGCACCTAACTGCTAACCAGAAGGCTGGCGGTTCAAACCCACCAGGCTCCTTGGAAGAAAGGTTGGGCAATCTACTTCGATAGTGAGAGTGCCTCGGAAACCCAAGGAGGGGTCGCTATGAGTCGGCACATAACAACAACAACACCCTTTAATACACTGCTCAGCCTCTGTAGATATGGTCACTTATAAAACAGCATATCTACTCCATCAATGACTGTTAGCCATCATTCTCCCTTAGCAATTGAAGTATTGGCTGTCTTCCAGGCTTTTAATAATTTTTTTCAGTAATTTATTCACACCATATGTTTAGATTTAATTTTGACCCTATAAAGTCGATGACTTAATAACTATATATAATAACTTTTATTTAACAGTTAAAATATTGTGGAATTTGATCTAAAACTCCTCTTTCTGTACATGGATAAATTACATTCTACCATATAACTGATAAAGTACAGTTGGGCACGTTTATGAATAAACATCAATAGCTTTTAAAATTCAGCATTTTGTGAGAACTCCAGGTAGTAACAAAGCATTTCAAATATTATTATAGGAAATTAACTGCCCAATTAGCTTATCAGTAGTGTTGCATACGTGTTGTTATCTGCTGTCAAGTTGATTCCAACTCATAACAATTCTGTAGGGCAGGGTAGAACTGCCCCATTGAGTTTCCGAGGCTGTAATCTTTGCAGAAGCAGATGGCCATGTCTTTTCTCCCGTGAAGCAGCAGATGGATTTGAACCTCCAACCTTTCAGTTAGCAGATGAGTACTTAACCTTTGCCCCACCAGAAGTCTTTATAGTGTACGTATATATATGCATCAGACTGTAGCCATTAAAAACCCTTTTACTCTGATACACATAGGGTAACCATGAGTCGGATCAACTTGACAGTAACAAGTTTGGTTTAGTTTATGAAAAGAAAAGAGATGAATAAAAATACAATCATGTATATATAAAGCCACTCCTGCCTCACTTATCAACATCATGATTACATTCCAAAGACCAGGTTGTTATGTGAAATGGAAGGGTTTGTTTTGTTTTGTTTTGTTTTGTTTTTTTCTGTTTTCAGACCATCCATTTGTCTGCTTGTGTTTATTTAGAAAATATGATCAGAGAAATAATAACAGCCAAAATTTAGTGCTTTGTTCATCACTGTGACAAGTCCAATTATGGATTATTCTTCTTCATAGAAGGGGGCTTGGAGGAGACAAAGCTGGATAAAGCTGAGCTGTGTGACTAGAGGGCCCATGGCTTAACCACTTCACCTTCCTCCTGTGCTAGGCCAGAGCTGTGTTGCAGAGCCAGCTCCAGACCTCCAGTCTCACCCTTACCAGCCCTATTCTCAACATCCCAGAGCCTGCTCTCCCCTCTAGGCCTGATGAGTCCTGACGGCTCAGGGCTTCTAGCAAGGGTGCTGGAAGCCTGACCTCAAACCCAGCCCCACCAAGGTGGAGGCTTCAGGCCCACTTCAGCTCACTTTGGCATATCATTAAACTTACATCCCTTCCAAGCACACTCCCTGATGCCTCTTTCCCCCCTTCCCACTGCAGAGCAATTTCGAACCACAGGGCCTCAAACCATGTAACAGCTGAGATCCCAGAACAGGCATCTGCAGCCTGGAGGCCGTGACCTTGGAGGAAGCTGCCCCATGCAGCAAGGTGTCCCCACCTTCAGGAGGGAGCATTTGGCACAGAGCAGTGTGGCCCAACCTCCCTGAGCCAATCTGGGGACTCTCTGCAAGGGACGAGATGCTCTCTAGCCATTGCCAGCATGCCTGCCACCTTCTTAATGCACAAGAGTAGTGGGAGAGCAGCTATTTTTCTATTTCCTAGATGTGAAATTTTGGGTGATGAGATAGTAAATGAGGAGTAGGGGTAGAACTGTATTTCATAGGGTTTTCGATGGCTGTTACAGAAGTAGATTATCGGGCCTTTCTTCGGCAGTGCTGTTGGATGGCTTTGAACCACCAGCCTCTTGGTTAGTAAACTACCAGCCTCTTGGTTAGTAAACTACCAGCCTCTTGGTTAGTAGCTAAGAGCAAACTCTGGCACCCCAGGACCTACTCATCTTCACATAACCCACTACCTTCAAGTCAATTTGGATTCATAGCTATGAGTCGTCTTCACACAGTGGGTATTTAATTTTAAAATAGCTAAAATGACTGCCATGAAAATCAGTAGTGATTTCTGCAGTAAATTCTGAATAAACTGTTGGTACTGCTTATAAATCATCAGTATCTTTGTTTAGAAAATGTTTTTCATTTACACTAGCTAGTTTAAAGAAGGGTCTGAAGTTACTCTCTGTTGTGATTTTAGTAAACTTTTCTAGGGGAGTCATTAAATAATACCAATTGAACGCTTTTTATATGACTTTTGGTAATTAAAGAATTATGTAGTGAAAAATAAAGAGAAAATAAGATGAAAAAGAAGAAAGGAAGTATGTGGGACTAATTAGAAAGTCAGTGTTAAATCTGAAAGAAGTATGCAAGAAATAGACTGATGCATAATTCAAAACTAATTTGTTGTCATGGAATTTATGTTAATGCTTAACATTTAGTATGCATAGCTTATGGGACTAGCTGTTTATAACAGCATCACCTTGGATATTCGTTTCCCTCCCTGCTGCTACAAGAAATTATTGAGCCCTCCTGTTGTTCCTAGTGATCAAAATACACCAGTCGGCATCTGCAGTGTTACCATTGATGACTTATGTCAGATTATGCCTGTAAGTATAAAGGTATTAGCATCTTGTCCCTCAGTGCTAAATCGTCTCCCACCTACACAGTCTCTCTCCTCCTAATGCTATTCTTATTTTTAAATATGGTTTCCCTCCACCATTGCACATACCTCCTTTTTCTTCCAGCATTTTCCTTTCTCATGGGCCGACTTGACTCTATGGCAACTAAAAACAAACTCTTACAGCATGGTGTATAACACAGGCTTTAAAGTCAGAGTCAGAGACTTGAATCCAGGTTCTGCCACTTACTAGCTCTGGGAACTTGGCTAAGTTGCTGAACCTTTTTGAGCTCTAATTTCCTTATGTGAACTATGGGATAGTAGTAACTTACTTTTACATTGGAGGCACTATAAGAGATAATAACCTAGTATGTGAATCACTGTGCTAAATGCTTACTTACATGGTGATGGTTGTTGTATTGTAATTTTTGCTGATAGTAGTAATACTAGACTAACAGATGAAATTCACCTGCGTGAGTATCTGGAGATGCTGCTACAAAATGGTAAAGAAACAGGGTTTGGACAGAAGAGTCAAGGGAACAAACGGACTTCATACCACAGGGATTACTGATAGAGTGAAATTGTATGTATCCAATGCATAGCCAACTATGATGTCCACAATTATTAACTCTAATGTTTATTTAGGAGCTCTGGTAGCATAGTGCCTAAGGCACTTGACTGCTCACCAGAAGGCTGGCGGTTCAAACCCACCAGCCACTCCTCGGAAGGAAGGTTGGGCAATCCTACTTCCGTAGTGATACTGCCTCAGAAACCCAAGGAGGGGTCACTATGAGTCGGAGCTGACTCAACGGCAAACAACAACAACAACAACGTTTATTTACTGTCCATAAAGATTTCAGGTAGATTACAAAGATTACAAGAAGTAGATTTTAAAAATTGAGGAAGTTGGATTAAGGGGAATATAAGGGCTAGAACTCAGAAGGAAGGTTGGGCAATCTACTTCCCGTAGAGATACTGCCTTGGAAACCCAAGGAGGGGTCGCTATGAGTCGGAATCAACTTGACAGCTGGGAGTGAGCCAGTGAGTGATAACCTTAGATGGCTCACTGGAATGTTTAGGGCCTGTATTTTCTTATTATAAAATGAGGGAACTACACTAACGATCTCTGAATTCCTCATTTTAGATTTCTCGTGGTTTGTTTTTTTTTTTTTTTTTGGGGCCCACATACTCAGGTTTGACTAAATTTTACTAAATTGGCTAATTTTAGGACTGAAGATGTTCTAATTTTACTCATTTAGATTCTGCTTTCTTTTAGTTAATAATAATATTTTATGATAGACCATCTCAATATATCATTTATATTATGGAGTTAAAGATGAAAATAAGTCTGTATTGGCTCTTTAATAGCTAGACAAAATAACAAAAAGATCTTCTTGACATGGAGTTAATGTGAAAAATGCATAGTTGAGAATAGAGGAGAGGTAAGTGTAACTTTGATACCAACACGATATCTCATTTCCTTCTGCATAAATCACTCCTAAATATGCTCTGTCAAATAAGACCAGAGTATTCAGTGTAAGAATAGTCTGTAAATAGGTTTAACTGTGTGAATAATTAATAATATTTTAGACATAGCATATTACGACTAAGAGCCTAAGATTCCCAATATAGGTAAACATAACAAAACATTTTTAGTGTAACTGGGTTTGAAAATACAAAGAACTGACAAAAAGACCTACAGTTCTACCGAATCCCTTTCTGAATTAAGCTGGTCTGAATGTATAACTTTATGACCTGTTGCTTTGTGTTTTATAATTAAAACTTGACCTTTAAAAGAAGATGGTAAGTCCTTTCCTTGGATTTACTTACTAGCCCCTGGAATTCTTGATAAAAATTTCAAGTATCCCAATTCTAAGTTTTAGAATCTATAATTGTTATTAGTAATTATAATAAATTATGACAAGTCATATGTCATATTTAATCTATACAATTTACATTTATATAAAAATTTCAATGGAATGAAAAAATTCAAGTAATATGAGATCATTCTAATCATGCTGTTCTTCTTTTTTCTAATTAAAACTTGTTTTTATAAAAATCAATTCTTTTAAAAAAATATAGGGCTAATTCTCTATTTTTAAATCCTTGTTCATGGGTAACATGAGTTACAATGTAAGACATTTCTTCCAGTTTTCTCACGGCGAAGTGGGCACTGTAACAGAAATGTAGAAACCACATAACATATATGAACTGAGTATTTTTATGTTTAAAAGGATCCTAGAACATTAGCAGATTATTTTAAATATATAAACTAAAAGAATACTACAAATTTATAAATAGTAATGTAACAAATAGTAGCAAATTATGATGGCAACAATATTCGATATTTGTTTAGCTTGTTGCTTGAAAACATATCACTTTTGTATCCTGTAGTTTGAACTGGATGTTTTCCTCTTACATGACCTATAATGAATTTCTCCAAGTCTCTCAGATAGTAGAGATCATTGACAAGCATGTTGTTGTTGTTATGTGCCATCGAGTCGGACCCGACTCAGCGACCCCTCCTTGGGTTTCTGAGGCAGCATCACTATGGAAGTAGATTACCCAACCTTCCTTCCGAGGAGTGGCCGGTGGGTTTGATCCGCCAGCCTTTTGGTTGGCAGTCAAGTGCCTTAGGCACTACGCTACCAGAGCTCCTTAACTGTAGTAGATCCACTTAACTATTTCATGTACCAAAACCAAACCAAACTCGCTGCCACTGAATTGATTCTGACTCATAGCAGCCCCTTGGGGTTTCCAAGGCAGTAAATCTTTATGGGAGTAGATTACCCCATCTTCCTTCCACAGAGTGGCTGGTGGGTTTGAACTGTCAACCTTCTGGTTAGTCGTCAAGATGCCTTAGTCACTACACCACCAAAACCAAAAAACCAAACTCACTGCCATCGAGTCAGTTCTGACTTGTAGCAACCCCCTTTTGGGTTTCTGAGGCAATAAATCTTTACAGAATTAGATTGCCCAGTCTTCCTTCCGCAGAGTAGCTGGTATGGGTTTGAACCGCCAGCCTTCTCATTAGCAGTCAAATGCATTAGGCACTACGCCACCAGAGCTGCTTATCTTATGTAATACTATTTTATTTTGAAACACATATAACAGATTTATTTTTACAGGAATTGGCCCATGGATTAAGCGAACTCTTATCATATGAAGGCAATGTTGAAGAAGATTTCTATTCAACATTCCAGGTAACGTTAAGGGCAAACAACTTTCTCTTAACCATATATTTCACATAGTTGTTTCCATTTGTTATCAAACACTTACCATTAGAAAGGATGAATAAAAGTTAATCAGCACATTAAATCTCCTGTCTGAAGGATCTTAGCCTGATAAAGTAGAAACAGTGAAACAGATAAACTGTAGGTGAGCAGTCAACCAAGGTGCTTGAAGAAATTTACCAAGGGCATAAGGGCACTCCGCTGGTCATCTGTCATATTCCCTTGCCTCATTACCTTGTCAGAGCTTTTCAGCTGTTAAAAGTAAGCCTGTGCTGTACCCTCAACACAAGAAGTTAGGAGCAGAAATGAATGGGTTAAACCAACACACTCATTTCCACTTCCTCTAGTAGTGTAGTGCCTAAGGCACTTGACTGCTAACCAGAAGACTAGCGGTTCAAACCCACCAGCCGCTACTTGGAAGGAAGATGGGGCAATCTACTTCCGTAGTGATACTGCTTAGCATACCCAAGGAGGGGTCGCTATGAGTCGGGGCCGACTCGACGGCACATAACAACAACAACAACAGCAATAGTTGGGAGATGGAATTACAGTGTTCCACCTAACTCCAAAGACAAGAGTATTACCTCAATGGCCGCATGAGTTTTGTGAGCATCAGTAAAATACTTAACAGTATTTAACAGATGGGGTTAAGTTAAAGCCCTACTTTTTCACCCCATAATGCTTTTTTGACACCTCATTCTTAACACATATTATCGTAAGATCTTAGCCTTTCTATAGTTTGTGTATTGGGGGAAGGAGGGGGAACTGACCAGCATAAATTTAAGATTTTACAAACCTGTTCATTGAAGCCTGCTATTACATCAGCCATATCAATAAATAGGCTATGATGGCATTTCCCGTCAGGTTTTTCAAGAAGAATTTGGAATAATTAAGTCATACAATTTAAAGCCAGGAGGTGACAGAATTCCAGTTACCAATCAAAATAGGAAAGGTAAGCCTAACACTTTTTTACTTAAAATGCTTTAGTGTACACCTGTTGCTTTTACTGTTTTAACAGATATAAAATTGCTTTCCAGAATATGTACAGCTTTACGTTGACTTCCTTCTCAACAAATCCACCTATAAGCAATTTGCTGCGTTTTATTATGGATTCCATAGTGTGTGTGCTTCGAATGCCCTAATGGTGAGTTTAAAACATTAAATTATGCTTTCAATGAGATTTTATAATGCTATAATATTTGACAAATAATTCTTTAAATAGTTTAGTAGACATACTTTTTAATAAGAAAATGTGTTCTACTTTGTGAAATAGGGCTAGAAATTAATTTTTCCTGTTCTTCCCTTCTGCTATAGAACTCTGTTTTCTTGCTTTCTATCTTTTAGAGTTTTAACAAATTTTCCACAAGCAGAGTGGGTGAAGAGATATCATGGGCTCAGGATCTTAATACTGAGGGAGAAACACAGAAACAGAGTTAAATCAGTGAGAAGCCACAACTTCTTACTCATGTAGGCAACACACATACACCTGCTTCTTGCTGCTTCTAGGGTCCCTCACCAACTCTGAGTTACCTTCTAGCCATAAAGTAATTTGTTTCCAGAGTCATGGCCAACTGAGGTTGGTTTGACTACATTCCCGTGTAGGTTTGGGTCAGCTGATGTTTAGAACACCATGTGGAAAATATAAGATATAAGCATAGTTTTCTAAAGAGCCAGTGCTCTTCATCCCAGCTACTCAGGCCATGCCCCTCCATCATGCCCACTTGTGCCTCCCTTCAGAGTTTGGAGTATGGTCTTTTATTGAGTTCTTTTTCGTAGAAGGGAAATGGACTATAGAGGTTACTTTAGGGCAGGAGCAAGTGTGATTACATTCTTCCCAGCTTGTTTTAGAGTAACCTTTGTCACATATTTGTTATTTGGAAGTACCTTTGAAAAACAAAAAATTTATTAAGCTTAATTTATTGAATTTTGTCTGTGACTACACCGTTAGTTGTGGAGGTGGAAGAAAGGAAGGTAAGAATGAAATGGTATAGCATGATCTCTGTTTCTGAAAGTGGGAGACTAACCCATGTAGAGGGAAGAACAAAGGAGCGGTACAAGACAGACTGTACCACGTACCCGAACTCCACCGTTGCACACCGGAGGTGCTATGGCATAGTGAAAGGAGGCAGGCAAATCTGTAGGAGGTGGTGGAGGAGCTAAAGGAGCGTCGAGCTGGGTTTGGGGAAAGAACTGTAGTTTGGATTCATGCTTAGTCATCTGCCTGATTCTCTGGCATACTGCTAATTACCATTTGCAAAAGGGAAATCTAATGGTTTGACAAGATTTATAAACTTTCAAAAGCAGAAATATCTTGCCTCAGTAGGAAAGATTTAAGTGGAGAAGAGTTTTCTTCAACAACAATGGTTTGATTTAGTATGAGAGAAGTCACAATTTTTGGTGATTTGATTCAGTGAAAATAGTTTCCATTTAATTTTTTTAAAATTGTCATCTTTATTTTTGATAAATAATTATTGGCAGCTGCTTCGTCCAGAAGAGGTTGAAATTCTGGTCTGTGGAAGTCCTGAACTGGATATGTACGCTCTGCAGAGAAGTACTCAGTATGATGGCTACGCAAAAACTGATTTAACTATAAGGTGTTCTCTTTATGCTTCCGGTGGTGGGTTGTGGAAGAGGGAGTGAAAGAGAAGGTGCTTCATTTACTTGTATAACTTAAACTCTTTTGACCAAGTGGGCTGAAATATTGTAGAGTCCCACAATACCATATTTTATCTCTAGAAAGTAAAATGAGAATATTAAATATGAAATCACTTAGTAATCCCTTGGCAGAAAGTGATACAAATAAGTTTCCACAAAAGTATAGAGATTTGACTTTTTTAAATGATCTCACTCCCAGAATTTCAAAGATGTTATACATATCAGTAGCATTTTAGTAGTACTATGTTGAAAAAAAGGAGCTGTGGTAGTGTAGTGCCTAAGGCACTTGACTGCCAACCAGAAAGCTGGCGGTTCAAACCCACCAGCCACTCCTTGGAAAGAAGATTGAGCAATCTACTTCCATAGTGATACCGCCTCAGAAACCCAAGGAGGGGTCACTATGAGTTAGGTCTGACTCGATGGCACATAACAACAACAACAACATGTTGGAAAAATTAGACTTTTAAGTTACAATACAAAATGGCTTTTGTGCTATCTACTGTCGGACTACTACTATTTTTATAACTTTTTAACAATGATATTCTATAATGGTAGTTGAAAATCTAATTCACATATGTTGTTGTTGTTATGTGCCATCAAGTCAGCCCTGACTCATAGAAACTTATTATTCATTAATTTCACATTAAGGATATTATGTATATTTAAGAAAAGTTTTTTTTTCCTTAGCACTTACTTGATGCATACTTTATTCTGATGTGCAGGATTTTGTCAAGACAGTTTACATAAATTTCTTTTGGTATTGTCCAGATACTTTTGGGATGTTGTGCTTGGATTTCCTCTTGATCTTCAAAAGAAGTTGCTACATTTTACGACAGGAAGTGATAGAGTACCTGTGGGAGGGATGGCTGATTTGAACTTCAAAATCTCAAAGAATGAAACTTCAACTAACTGGTAAATTTCTAGATTGTAATTTTATTTTAATTTATAGGTTTTTGCTAAGAGTAATAATAATACATTAATAATAAGGAATTCATTCAGTCTCAGATAATTTTTACAGAAAAATCTTGGGAGTGAAATTGACCTTGAAGTGAGACAGACTATGGCATAAAGTTCTTTGTTATTAATTTTTGAGACATACCAGCACTAAGAAGCATTCCTTTCCATCAATGTTTTACTTTGTTGGGTCAAGTAACTGCTTTGCAGGCTCTTTTGTTGTCTCTATTACAAGGTACCTACAAAATTTTTTTCCTATAATAGAACTAGAAGTCCTCTAGTATTAGTCCTCTTTTTTATTTTTAAATCTAATCCCCTTGATACGTGAAAGTAATGATGATGGTGGCTTTAAATTATTTTTTAGTCATATTGATGGTTTAATTCCCATCTACTCACTCCTTTTCCCAAACACCTTGAAATTTCTAAAGTAGGTATTTGGAGTAGACACAGTCTTTGGTTGTAATTATTTTTTATTCTCCTGCCCCATACATTAAACATTCCCCAAGGCTGGCCAGTTTTTTCTTTCATTTTAGAGCTAGAATCTGCCCTTTCTGTTTCTGCTGCCTCCGCCCTGGAATAGTTACTTTTACATCATCCCTAGTTTATTGAATTACCCTCCTTCCTGCTCTGCCTAGTCAGGTTCTTCCCCTTTGTAATAGCTTTACCCTATTACATTTATTTTCCTTGACACTGCTTGGAGCATGGTATTTCCTTGCATGGTAGCTTTATTGTTCCCCGTAAGTTTGACTTCTGGCATCTCAAGCTTGTCAGCTAAGCTCTACAGTCTTCTCCTCCAAGTTACCTTTCAGTTTTCATTTTTTTCCTGTGCTGTAGTCAATGGGCTGTTTCTCTGTTTTTTAGACACATTTTGTGCCTGCTTTTCTCTGTACATTGAAGTGTTTTATATACACGTGCTATTGCCTTACTACTTTCCTACTCATGAAAATTCTGCCCCTCCTTAAAGACTCAGTTTGAAGACAGCTTCCTCTATAAAGCCTTAAATCATTCTTTCAGTGAATCCTCAAATATCTTAAAGAAATCATATGGTACTTAATATATTTCACCTTAAATCTTTAGCTCCTGAAGAACAAAGGCCATGCCTTAGGTGTCTTTGTATTCTCCATGTAGCCTCACATACAGTACATGAATGCATATTAATGTCAACATCAAGTTTATATTTAAAGCATAAAACAAATAATTATATGCATATAAAATTGAGAAATTTCCATATAAGATTTATAAGACTCAAAATGTAAAAAATTCAAGAGAAGCATTTTGAGATTAAAGATTTGTTTGCTTAACAGAAGTTAAATTTTCAGAATATTTTATATTAACAAAAATACTATCAGTTACCACCACTCATCTGTCAGTTTGTCATAATGTGGTGGCATATGTGTTGCTGTGATATTAAAAGCTATGCCGCTGTATTTCAAATATTAGCAGGGTCACAGGTTTCCTTGGAGCTTCCACACCAAGACAGACTAGGAAGGAGGACCTGCTGATCTACTTCTGAAAAACTTGCCCTGTGAAAACCTATTCATGGCAGTGGAACGTTGATCTAGGGCCAGAAGATAAGCCCCTCAGGTTGGAAGGTACTCAAAATATGACTGGGGAAGAGCTGCCTTCTCTGAGTAGAGGTGACCTTAAGTTATGGTTAAAGTAAATCTTTCAGGAACTTCATTTGCTGATGGGGCACAACTAAAAATAAGAAGACAAAGCTGTAAACATTTGTAATTGGAATGTGGAATGTACAAAGTGTGAATCTAGAAAAATTGGAAGAAAAAATGAAATGGAACACATGAAGATTGATATTGTATGCATTCGAGTGCCTAAGGCACTGCACCACCAGAGCTCCTTATTTAGTGAGCTGAAGTGGCCTGGTATTGGCCATTTTCAATCTAACAGTCATATAGTCTCCCATTTCAGGAATAGCAAATTGAAGAGGAATAGCCTTACATTTATTGTCAAAAGGAACATTTCAAGATCTGTCCTGAAGTACAGTGCTGTCAGTGATGGGATAATATCTGTATGCCTACTAAGAAGACCAGTTAATATTACTATTATTCAAATTTATATGCCAACCACTAAAGCCAAAGATGAAGAAATTGAAGATTTTTACCAACTTTTGTAAGTCTGAAGTTGATCAAACATGCAATCAAGATGTATGGATAATTACTGGTGATTTTAATGCAAAAATTGGAAATGAAGAAGAATCAGTAGCTGCAAAATAGCTTTAGTGATGGAAACAATGCTGGAGATGACATGATAGAATTTGCAAGATCAATGCCTTATTCATTGCAAATAACTTTTTTCAACAACATAAATAACAACTGTACACTTGGATCACACTGGATGCAATACACAGGAATCAGATCTACTACATCTCTAGAAAGAGCCAATGGAGAGAAGCTTAATATCATCAGTTAAAACAAAGGCAGGGGCTGACTACAGAACAGACCATCAATTATCCATATGCAAGTTCAAGCTGAAGCAGAAGAAAATTAAAACAAGCCTACAAGAGACAAAAGATGACCTTGGGTATATCCCACCTGAATTTAGATGCCATCTCAAGAACAGATTTGACACATTGAACGCTGATGACCAGAGATTAGATGAGTTGAGGAACAATATCAAGGACATCATACATGAAGAAAGCAAAACATAATTAAAGTGACAGAAAGAACAAAAAGACCAAAATGATGTAAGACACCCTGAAACTCGCTCTTGAACATAGGGTAACTGACGCCATTGGAAGAAATGACAAAATATTAGTGCTGAACAGAAGATTTCAAAGGAAAGCTCAAGAAGACAATGTAAAGTATTATAATGGAACATGCAAAACCTGGAGTAAGAAAATCAGAAGGGAAGAACACATTCAGCTTTTATCCACAAGAAAGAACTGAAGAAAAAAATTAAGCCCCAAGTTGAAACATTGAAGGATTCTATGGGCAAAATATTGAACAGCACAGGAAATATCGGAGGAAGATAGAAGGACATGTGTCACTGTACCAAAAAGAATTAGACATAGAGGGAAGAAGTCCAAGATGTACTGAAAGCATTGGTGATAAACAAGGCTCTAGGAGTTGATAGAATGTCATTTGAGATGCAAACGGATGCAGTGCTGCAAGCGCTTACTCATCTATACCAAGAGATTTAGAAGAAATTACAAGACAACTACTTGGCCAACCAACTGAAAGGGATCCATATTATGCCTATTCCAAAGAAAGCTGATCCAACCAACAGCAGAAGAAAAGCCAGATGATTGGGACCTTCTAAAAATTAAATTTTTATGTGCTTCCAAAGACTTCTCCAAAAGAGTCAAAAGAGAATCTACAGAT